GGACCTGTCTGTCCTGCGCCTCCTCCAAGGCCCCCTCCCCCTGGTGCACCACCGCCGCCGCCGCCGCCGCCTCCACCACCACCGCCGCTCCCACCTCCACCGCCCCCACCTCCCCCCTTCCCGCCCTTCTTGCCACTCTTGCCCCGTTTTTGCCAGTCTGCGGTAGAAACGGCAGCGGTGTCCGCAGAGACCGACACAGCAGCAGAAGTGCGGGTAGCGGTGAAAGTGGGAAGCTGAGGGGCGGCACACCCCGCAAAGAGACGGGGGGCCACCGCATCAGTGGCGGAGGCAACGGTGAGGAGGCTGCTCTCGATGGTCCCGAGAGCAGTCTGAAAGAGGTCTATAGTGAGTTCAGTGGGGTGCTTCTGAAGAAGCGCGTCGCGGGCAGTGGCAAGGCGGTCAGGGAGGCGGGTGACTAACCAGTGCACAGTGAGCCACATGGGGGGGGGAGCAACAAGGAGCTGTGCGTCGGTACAGGCCGAACGAAAACCGGCGTCAAGCGAGCGGAGGTGAGTCACTAGGTCGGAAACAGTAGCAAACGAGCCTAGGTCGGGAAACACGAACGGCATGAGGAGGCGACTGAGGGAGGCGGAGGAGGGGGTGGAATAGCGAGCCACAATAGCATCCCAAACCCCCATTGGCTGTCTCCACCTGGTCAAAGTGAGCGGCCTCAGTCGGGGGGAGAAGCTCCGATAGCGTGAGGGCGGCGGCCGCGTCACGAGAGAGCCATGCGTCCCGAGCCAGGACCCGACGGTCGTAGTCCGCCTGGGCCGTAGGAGTCGGCTCCGGGGCGGTCGGCAGGGCGGCGGGGGACGGGGGTGCCGCGAGAGCACCCGACGCGTGGGCCCACAGAGTGGCGCCGTCCTGACGCTGGCTGGTGAGGAAACGTGTGGTCTGGCGCTGCCAGGTACCGAACTCGATCAGGTGTCCCTCAGCATCGAAACGGAGGCGACGGGCCTCCATAGCGGAGCCCATGCTAGAGGCGACTGGAGCACGGCGGAGGCGGAGCTAAGAACGAGGAGGAAAACTACGGAGGGCTAGGGACGCCAGCGGGGAAACCGACGAGAGACAGTCGGCGAGAAAATAGTCGTGGGGCGGGGCTCTAACCGAACCTAGGTGGCGCTACCGGAGGGAAAAGCGGCTGCCAGCCGCTGAGCCGGGAGCCAAGTGCAGTATGAATGGCGTGGGACCGGTGCACAGGTGAAGGGGAGAGAGATGCAGTAAGCGCACAGAGTGATGCGGTAAGTGTACGCAGGTGTGCGGTAAGCGCACGCAGGTGTGCGGTAAGTGTACGCAGGTGTGCGGTAAGCGCACGCAGGTGTGCGATGAGTGCACGCAGGTGTGTGGTAAGTGCACGCAGGTGTGCGGGAAGCGCACGCAGGTGTGCGGGAAGCGCACACAGAGTGATGCGGTAAGTGCACGCAGGTGTGCGGTAAGTGCACGCAGGTGTGCGGTAAGTGCACGCAGGTGTGCGGTAAGCTCACGCTGGTGTGCTGGAAGCGTTGACGGAGGAGGGCACGCGACAGGCGGAGGGGAGGGCACGCGACGGTCTAAGGAGGGCGCGCGACGGTTGAGGAGGGCGCGCGACGGTTGAGGAGGGCGCGCGGCGGTCTAAGGAGGGCGCACGACGGTTTTGGAGGGCGCGCAACGGTGGAGGAGGGCGCGCGGAGGTCTAAGGAGGGCGCGCGACAGGCTGGACATCGCGGGAGGGCGCGGGCTAGGCGCGAGGAGGGCGCGGAGGGCGCGGAGGGTGCGAGAGCATGGAGGGCGCGTAGGGCGCGGAGGCTAGCTAAAAAACGAACGAGGATCTAACCTACTCGTGATACCATCTCAGAATAGGAATGCAACGGAATGATTGGGATTAGGGTTTGCAAGCATACAAATAGGAGTCCTACAAATGCTGTACCCTCTAGGGAGTGCCTCACTGCAGCCTATCATAACATTAACATTTGACAGCATGATATGCTGAAATCAGGCCCTCAGATATCAGCGTAAAACACGCTGATTAGGCTGATTTTGTAGCTGTGATTTTCGTTTTCCCTGAAAATTCAGCATATGCTTCAAATTTGCACTGAAATTTCAGTATAACCTACCTTGCCACACTGACCATTTTCCGTGTTGCTATACAAGTAACACTGACGAATCAGTGTAGTGTCGTGAGTCACACTGAAACGGACAAGACCGATTCGGGGGGGGGGGGGGGAGGGGGGGTACGCGTGTGTACAGTCTGTACCTGGCCCGGGATTCACGAGACCCCACTAGGCTGTACCTGGCCCGGGATTCACGAGACCTCACCCACGCGCTTGGAGATGCCATGCGCTGTACAGATCGCGTGCCGACGTGTTTGCATCGCTGGAAGGAACTCTCACAGCGACAAACTTTGAACTGGTGATTCAACTTTGTATTTCTTTTTTACACTGATCGTTCAGTTTACTTATGATTTTTACACTGGCAAAATCAGTATAAAGAAAACCATGAACGCTGATTTGGACACCTGGGCGGCCGGGGCACGCTGATCCATCAGCATACCCTCAAACCTATCTGAGGGCCTGGCTGAAATGCACCACACCAGTATATCATACAAATGCGTGATAGTTAACGACCCAAAAACTAGGCTACCGCATCCCCTGCCTAGCATGGGGGGGAAGTCAATAGCAGAGTTTTTGAATAATCAACTAGCACATGAAACAATACAATCTGTTAACTCAAAAAAAAAAGGGTTAACTCTATCAGATCCAGTTCGCAGTGGCAAACATATGAGTCACTGAGTGCGCCAATGAACCAATGAGAAATGATAGAAATGAACCCCCTTTTTAAAATTGACAGACATGCATTGATATTGCAATGACAGATGAGATGAATGCACTCACACAAACAAACGCATTCACACAATAAAAAACACGAGCTCTGGCAAACCCAGCCAAAAAACACATACGCACGTTCATACGGACACATACGCACGCAATCAGACACATACACACGCACGTACAGAAGCTTGGAACAAGCCAATGCAAAAAAAAAGAACTTACGAATACAAAAAGATAACTGCGAAAACAATGCAACACTACTAATCCCACAAATCGCCAATGATAATTAGTGGTTCTAAAGAAGGACCTTGGATCCCCGAATGGTACAGCAAAACCTCTGAGGAGTAGGAAATATAGAAACAAAAGGGGCGAAAATGGGAATAGAATTTGTGGGGGAAAGCACACAACCTACAATCGACAAAGTATCTCATACATTAGCTATACCTATGACATGGGAAACGTCAAAGCAGTAACAGATGAAAGCAGGAGACGATAATACGGATGTGGGCAAGGAAGGTAGAAAGAATGAAAAAAAAAAACGACGGAATGAATGAAATGGACAAATCAGAACACGAAGGAATAAGACAGATGTTGTAAGAATAGATAACCAAGGAAAAGAAAACTAGAACACAGAATGTAGGTAGAAGGAAAAACTAATAGGTCATGAATATGTGTAGGTAAGGGGGAGGAAGGAAGGAAGAAGGGATCTACGGGCGGAACGGAAGCATGCATGAGTCGAGTGTACCGATAAATCAGTATCAACCTAAAACATGAGATCTCAGAGAAGCTAGCTATGCTCAACTTAGTTTAGCCTAGGAATTACAAGTAAAGGCTGGTCCTTACAAAGGGCTTACAACCTTTGGATAAACAACTCTCGTCAATGATACTAGATCTAGCTTACAAAATCAACTTAGTTCTACTTACTAGGTTCTCACCTGTCAGTGGTAGGTAGCTGGAGCGTGGTTCGAAGGCGTATGTCAAGAAAAGCTCCACTGGTGAGAGGAAAATGAGGGAGCATACGGCGCATATGGAGCAGGCGAGCTGAAGGGGGGAAAGAAACATAGGAAGAAGGAAAACCATTTGAATTGAACGGAATGTGAACATGGATAGAACTGGAAAATGAAATGATTAGATGCTTTCTAGAGATAGAGTCGGACTAAAAACGATCTAGCTGCCAAGGTAGAATGTGTGAGACTTCTACATTCTAAATAACAGCAATACGAACTAGCTATATTGAAGGTCGTCGATGCTTAGTTTAGTCTAGAATATAACATCTACCATAGTTCTACTTAAAGCTTAGAGATTTACTCACCACTGGTAGGTAGGTGAGCGTGACTGGCGGGCATGGGTGGGAAACAGAGACTCACTGGCGAGAGGAAAGAGAAGAAAGGAAATGTAAAACCCTAGGTAGTGCCATCTTTGTCGTATTTACAATTGCCCAATACATTTTTGCAAGTGTACATAACAGTATTCGTAGCGCAGTCGATTGAAATTCGATAAGCAATCGAGTGGTCACCAGTTCGATTCTTGCCGACTGTTGTTCAAATTTTGACCAGGTAAAAGGAATGCCATTAACTTCCACACCAATCACTACATGTTATATAAATATAAGAATGTACTTACAAATAAAGCTTCGCAACCCTAGGATGACTTTGTCTCCTCTTGTTTCTCTTTGTTTCTCTTCGTCTCCAAGTATCAGGATATTATCCATAGTTTTAGTCCGTATGAAAGTATATATACATACATATATAAATGCAGAAAGTGTTGTACTATGCATTAATATAAAAAGGCTCCACAACCGTAAGACAATTTCGTCGCCTCTTGTTTTTCCTTGGATACGTGATGTTGGGAATATTCCATTAATTCTTCTTTGTCTTGCACAATTGCACTGCACTTTCTTACACAAGATATCGTACATGTGTAAAACATTGCATCCTGTGTGAGGGCGGATGAGCAGGGCAGTGCAACTGAGGTGACGGGTCATGATACAGCATCTGCTTCCTGTGTGAAGAGCGCCATAATCATGACATTCTATGCTTTAAGTGTCTTCGCATTTATTACTATTTTCGCAGTGAAGAGGTTCTGAATGAGATACAGTCTGTGTTTCTGGTCATTACGAAGTGTGATGTGGTGATGGGTAGCTGGTGAGCACAATAGGTGAGCATGCATGGCGAGGTGAGCATGCATGGGGTGCTAAGTATGCATGGGGTGCTGAGTATGCATAGGGTGCTGAGCATACATAGGGTGCTGAGCATGCATGGGGTGCTGATCATACATGGGGTGGTGAGCATGCATGGGGTGGTGAGCATGCATGGGGTGATGAGCATGCATGGGGTGGTGATCATGCATGGGGTGGTGAGTGTACGTAGGGTGGTGATCATGCGTGGGGTGGTGATCATGTACGGGGTGGTGATCATGCACGGGTGGTGATTGAGGGTGATTGGGGATGCGAAAAGGAACGGTCAGGATGCGAGTGGGAATAGGTGAGAGGGTGAATGGAAAAGATAGGAATGCGAGATTGCTGTTCAGTGCATGTTTTGTCTGATCAACACAGCATTGGCGAAAAAAATATTTGAATGCATTTTTTTTCACTGTTTGTAATAATAGAGCCAGGTACACAAGCAATATGTACATTGAATTCACAACACGATCCGACTCACTCGTCGTCGTTAATGAATTTCCCTGTACCGGGGTTGATGGCGGCGACGAAGAAGAAGGCGATGCTGGCAGCAGCGGCTCGAGCTCCCACACAGGCACGCCGATCTCGATGTTGAGCTGCGCCAGCGCGCCCCTACCCGTGATCACCTCGCCGATCAGGCTCGCCGCAAACCCTAATTGCGCCAGCCGCCCCACGAACAGCTCGTTCGCCTTGGTGAATCCGAACAGCGGCCCGTTCTCGCTCAGCCCCAGCGCCGCCTTGATGCTGCCGGGCTTCACGGGCGGCCCCACCGGCTCGTCGTCCACGAATCGCCCGCGGTCGCCCAGCCCGCCGATGGCGCCGAGCACGGTGAAGGCGATGAAGAAGAGCAACAGCGGCTCGGTCTCCGTGATGGGGATGCCCGTCTCGATGTTGAGCTGCGACAGAATGCCCGCGCCCGTGACCGCCTCGCCCAGCAGCAACGCCGCGAAGCCCAGCAGCGCCCCACAAACAGCTCGTTCGCCTTGGTGAACCCGAACCCGCCCGACGTGCCGAAGATGCCGTCCTCCGTGCGCTGCTTCGTAGAGGGGACGCTCTTAGCGGGGACGGCGGCTTTGCGGGAGCTCAAGAGCGCGGTGACTGTCAGAATCCCAACCACTAGACCACTGGGATAAAAGGGCTTGGTAAGTAGCGGGTCAGTGCGCCCATAACCCCCCAGGCCAACATGCCTGTAACCCTTCCCTAGGATCAATCGAGGATCACCAGTGGACCTCTGACACACCCCCGCACTGTGATGCCCGAAGTGCACACACTGGGATTCGAACCCGAGACCTTTGCTCCGATAGCATGTCAGAATCCCAACCAGTAGACCACTGGGATAAAAGGGCTTGGTAAGTAGCGGGTCAGTGCGCCCATAACCCCCCAGGCCAACATGCCTGTAACCCTTCCCTAGGATCAATCGGGGATCACCAGTGGACCTCTGACAGTGACGCCCAGGCCGCGGGGAGCGACTAGTTGGGGGACTGCCGGGGGGCTGCGGGTGGCGAGTTCAGTGCCTTTGACGGCAGAGCTAAAAGAGAGGCCTGAGAGGACCTGGCGAGAAGCCAGTGTGGAGGCCATGGCTGTTGTTTGACCGGATTGAGACGGAGTGGTGAGCGAGGAGAAGCTGGAAGAATGCTAGGCACGAAGTTGATCGAAAGCAAATTTGATAGTCGGAATTGTGCGATACTGAATTTGTATCACCGGGGTGAGGGGAAAGTCAATCGAGGCGCGCCATGTCGGTTGCTCAATGCTCTTGTGACTTGTCGTCTCGACTGGCCTGTGGTGGTTCCGTGTGGTGGCTGTTCTCTTTCACCGTAGCGCACTGCACCTGGCGCAACCTTTTGAGAATCTGTGCTGGCGATCGCTGGCGTGGCTGTACTTGGAGCGCGAGTTGGGACGTGGACGTCCCTGGTGCTCTAGATCCTCCAGCTGAGATGCACCGTGAATATGCTGACCGAGCGACGTGGTCGTGCGGTGTTGGCTAAACTAGCTGACATGGATATGAAAAGTTGCGGGTTCTACTGTACACAGTGTGTGGGCTATTTTCGTGGTCAGAGGCAGCACAGCGAGCTCTCTTGGGCGGGGGAATCGGGCTGCTCAAGACTCTCGCGAATCTCCCACAACGAACTTCGCAACAGCATCCGCGATGTGGAAGCTGGGGGTTGTGAATAATGGAAGACATAAAACAGCACATCAACAACATTACATAAGACATTACTTCAGTCTCAATGCAGGTGCCCAATCATGGACATAATGAATTATCACCAGATAACTCACATTGAGATGGCATGTATGTTTCTAAAATGAGCCAGCCATGCCTGGACCAGCCCATTTAACAACCTACTCGGACCAGCACCTGTCCCATGCTCGCCCTTTTTCCTATTGCCTACCCCATGCACCTCGCTCTCCTCCAAACCACTCCCAAGCCCAGCTACCACCACCTCAGCATTCCCATAATCCTCCATGCACTGAGCATACAGCGCAACCCTATCCCTTGGATTCGGCAATGACGACAAAAGACAGCAGATGCCAGCCGCCAGACAGCTGGCATCGAATGCATTGGCACTGCGTGTGCGGCGGGAGAGGCAAGCGAGGGAGGGGTCGAGGAGGAGCAGGCGGAGGTGGGAGAGGGAAACGAGGACGAGCAGCTGCACTGTCAGAGCACAGTCGCTGCTGCTGCTGCTGCTGCTGGTACTGGTGCTCGCAGCAGCACTGCTAGTAACTACAGTAGCAGCACTAACCTCAGCATTCCCTGCAGCAGTGTGAGCGTGAGTAGCAGTGTGAGGGTGCAGGGAGGCCAGCAGGCACTCCACGGACCGGGCAGCAGCAGGGGTTTCACACCCCATGGCAGCGCATGCAGCCATGCGCACCAGCTCCCTCACCAGCCGCACCTGACCCACCTCCGCCAGTGCCCTTGCGACACCTGTCACCGTTCCATCGTTTTCTATGAGGTTTTCTGAAGGGCCTCCCTTTGCCGAGGGAGGGATTCGCCTTGCTGAGGAAGCAGCAGCAGCAGCCGCCCTGCCTCCCACAGGCCCAGGTTCGCCTGCTGCTCGCCCCGCCTTCAAAGCACCAGCCTTTCCTGCACCTCCCACCCCGCCCCTGACTGCTGTGCTGCCGGTCCTCAACTCTCCTCCCCCCATGTCACACGCCTCTCCCCGAGCCACTGGTTGGGCAATCCCATGCTCCGCTCGCCCATATGCTACCAACACATGCCGCCCCATGGCAACCGCTGACGTGGCTGCCCTTCCCACTGACACTGCTATTGCTGCCTCACCCCCACCTCCTCCCCCTCCTGATCCTGCCACCTTGGTTTTCCGCACATGCCGCTGCTGCTCTCCTTCCCCCACCTCCTCTCCCTGCTCACCCTGCTGCCCACCCCCTTCTCGCAGCTCTTCCACCAGAAGCAGCAGCACCTGCCTCCTCTCCCTCGCCATAACACCCACCACCTGCACAGCCCGCCTCACTCGCTCCTCCTCTGCTCTTCTCAGCGCCCAGTCCAAAGCCACAAGCCCCTCTGCTGTTCGCGCCCCGCCTAGCCCCTCTTCCCCTGCTGCTGCTGCATCTTCCCTGCTGCTACCGGCCATCAGACTGGCAATGCCGCCCGCTAAGGTTGCATGGGGAGAAGCAGAGGCTGTATGGGTGGTGCTAGAGGCAGCAGCAGGAGGGTTGCTGGGAGGGGTGCTGGGAATGCGGCCAGAGGCAGAGAGGCAGGCGGCGAGGCGGAGGATGAGGGGGAGGGAGAGGGAGGGCAGGCCCGAGGGGAAGAACCACGCAGCCAGGGGGGAGAGGAACATGGCGTGGGAGGGGTGCGAGAGGACCAGCAGTGACGACACTGCAGATTCCAAGAAGGTTCCGCTGTTGGGAGAAGTGGAAGGGTGTGACCTGTGTCTGCTGGTGTCTCTTCTCTCCGTCTCTCCACAAGCTTGTTGCAGGGCCTGCAGCAGCAGAGGCTGCACGGCAGTGCGCCACAGGAGTGAGGGAGAGGAAGGCGACAACACTGGTTCCAAACCCCCCCCTCTACCTCCTGCTCCACGCACCACACCCGCATCCCCTCCCTTAATCCCACTCCACCTTCCACTCCCTCCAGTGCTCATTACAAGCACATCCTCAAACAGGCACGTGCAGTACTCCCACGCACCCAGCTCCCTCTCCATCTGCACCACCCGCCTCTCAAACCCCTCCCTTCTCCTCTTTTCCCCACCACCTCCCCCCTCCTCCCTCACCCCCGTCCCCTCACCGCCCTCCCCATCCACACCCCCTCCCTTACCCCCCCAGGACCACAGCCCCGCCCAGCCACTGCCCTTGCCCCCGTCGGCCTTCCCCTCCTCCGCCTGCCGCCTCGGCCCTGCGCCGTGCAGGGCTGTAAGCGCCTGAGAGAAGCCAGCTTGCAGAATAGAGGCTGTGTGTCGCCGGAGCATGAGTCGCAGCGCCACCACCATGGCATGGCACGCCCCCCCTGCCCACTCGTCCCTGCTCCTCGTCCCACCAGGGCTATACGCACCAATGTTACTGAAATTACGAGAAGAGCCAACTGCAGTGGTGGAATCAGGAGGATGGTTAGAGGAAGCAGAACCACTGGAGGTACTGGCAATGGCAGCAGTTGCACCATCAGCCGTGCCAGCCGTGCCAGGACGAGCGGCAGCTGCAGCAGCAGCGGCGGCGGCTGCTGGAGCAGCAGTGACACTCCGTCTAGCGCCTCCCTCCCTCCCTATGAACGGCAGCCCCTTGGCCTCAAACGCAGCCACGCCCGCGGAGAATCCCGTCACAGCAGCCCGTGCTCGACCCATGGCCTGCCGGAACGCCGCCTGCCCATGCACCCGCGCGGCAACCAGTGCCTTGCTCTCCCCACCCTGCCCCTCTGCCCTCTCACCCAGCCCCCCTTGCCTGCCCTGCGTGCTCGCTACCCCCTTTCCTGCTGTGCTGTCTGTGTTGAGGGAGTGGGTGGCGAGGGCATGGGAGGGCGGTGGGAGGAGGGTGAGCGTGCATGCGTGCATGAGGCTGAGCACACTGGCCGGCACCACCGCCACCACTGCCCTCGACACACACCGCAGATGGCTCTCCAAATACTCCCCCCTCCCTCCTGCTCCTGCTCCTGCTGCTCCTGTCCCTGTCCCTGCTGCCGTGATGCCTCCAGATGCTGCTGCTCTTCCCACTCGTGCTCCACCCTCACCACCATTGCGACTACCATCAGCACTGGTACCAGCACCAGCGGAAGAACCAGAACCAGCACGAGCAGGAGCATGCTTACTTGCAGCAGCAGAGGCAGCAGTAACAGCAACCACTCCAGCAACTCCTGACTGCATCAGCACCAGCAAGCACCCAACCTGCCCCAGACACTCCGGCTGCAGCCTCACCCGAGCCTGCAGCCATGGCAGCAGGCTCGGCAGCAGCGCCCAGAGGAATCCAGGCTCGGCAGCAGCAGAGAGCGCTGCGAGGTGGTCAGAACGAATGGCCTGCACGAGAGCCATGTCCTGGAGCAGGCGACAGGTGGCGTGCAGCGATTGGCCGGCGAGGGGATGCGACTGAATGTGGTGGAGTGAGGCAGCGTCTGCGAGAGCAAGGGAGAGCTGCTGAAGGCTGGCGGGCGTTGAAGGGGCGTCTGGGTGCTGCCAGTGTGACACCTGTAGACACACATAGGGGTGGTCAAGAATGGAGGGGGTTTGGAAAAGGGTTGAGAGGTAAGCGGAAGGGAAGGGAGAGGAAGATGTGCCACTGAGGTATCTGGGGCCAAGAAAAGCAGACAGGTGGGAAGGAAGAGGATTGCAATTTGCAAGTAGAGGCGGCAGCAGAGAGGTGGAGCAAGAGAGGGCGAGAGAAGGAGTCATAGATAGTCTCCATGCTATAAGGGCTACGGAAAAGAGGTGTGCTGGCTGAACGTGGTTGCCATCACGGTATACCATCTCTGACCACCACTGTACCATCATCCTCTCCTGCCCTCACCTCCCCTCACTCACCTGTCCCAACCTGCCCTGCCCCCTCATGTGCCGGCTCACCTGCCATGACAGTCGCTGGAACCACTCTCCAATGCTCCCATCCGCCCCATCCTTCCACCCCATTCCTGCCATCGCCTCCCCCCCATCTCCCACCCCTCGCCTATCCCCTCCTCTGCTCCCAGTCCCAACTCCCCCTCTGTCCGCACCATCCGCTGCGCCTCTTTCCCCTCCCTCCACACCCTGCTCGCCCACAAACAGCCGAGCCAGGCCGTCCAGACGTTTGCACGCCGCCTGCCTCAGGCGGTGCCAGCTGTCCTCTCTGCGGGCAATGATAGCGGAGAGACACGTGGCGGCCTCTGATTGGAGCTCAGCGAACGAAAGGAGGAGAGTGAAGAGCGGATCGTGGTCCGAGGGAGGGGGGATGGGAGGAGGATGAGGGACAATGGTGGTGGAGGAGGAGGCTGGTGCTGCAGGAGCTCGTTTGCTCCAACCACCAAACCAGCTGCTCCTGCTGCTGTTTCCGCTGCTGTCAGATCTGCCTTGCTGTACCGAGCCCACAGCCACTCCACCTGTTACTTCCGGCAACAGGAAGCCCGCAGCTACTTCAGCAGGCACCTGGCTTGCTTCCGACCAGCCAGGGGATGACAGGCCAGCGGCAACAGCAGTGCGAGCACGGGCGTGTGCGTGGAGTTGGGCTGAGCGGGCAAGGCGGTGGGTGGTGAGGATGATAGGCAGAGAGAGGTGCAGCGCGAGAGAGGCGCGGTGCTGCAGCAGCCACCTGAGGAGTGCGGCTGTGTGGCGGATGAGAGAGAGGATCTCCCGTGCACTGCGTAGCACTGCCAGGCCAGGCACGGAGCAGAGCGAAGAGGAGGAATTAGACTTTGAATCTGTACTACTGCTGCTGCTGCTGGTACCAGTGGTGTTAATCGTGCTGGTGCTGGTATTGCTGCTTTCATCACTAGCAGCAGAGCCAGCAGCACTACCACGAGCGACCCCACCGCCCACATGCTTACCACCCCACAGCTCTTCCTCCCATCCTGCCGCGCCCTGCTGCTTCAGCCGACCCATGGCCCTGCCCACTGCCTGCTGCACCCCTGGCAGCACCTGCACCAGCGCTTGAGCCACGTGCAGGGCGGAGGTTGGGGAGAGGTGCAGGGTGAGGGCTAAGTGGGCGGCAGGGAAGTGCTGCCAGGCTATGGAGAGATCCAGAGAGAAGCCGAGGAATATGGGCACCACCCATGTCAACCCGCCCACTGCTGCTGCCCCTGCTGCTGCTCCTGCTCCTCCTGCAGCTGGGTCATCAACACTTCTTCCACCTCCTGCTGCTGCTACCACACCTGCGCCACCTGCCCCTCCTCCTCCACCATCGTCGCCTCTGCTTCCTCCCTGCTGCTGCTGCGGCGGCGCCCATTGCTTCCAGAGGCTCCAGCCGCCACCAGCAGCGGCAGCAGCAGAGGCAGCAAACGGTGCAGAGGAGGAAGACGAAGGGGAGGAGGGGGCCAGGGCGAGCAACCTGCGGTGGACGAGCTCGTGCATTAAGGGCAGGTCGGAGCGGAGCGAGGAGGGGTGGAAGAAGAGCAGCAGGATGAGCGACGACGTGGAGGGGAGCGAGGCTGTGACTGCTGCCACTGCGGAGAGAGTGTCATGGGGTGTCCCCGCTCCTGCTGCTCCTGCCTGTGAGGGGGCTTGAGTTGGAAAGGAGGAGGAGAACGTGGAAGTATGCACAGCAGACGAGGATGAGGACGAGAGAACCGAAGAGGCTAGATTGAAAGTGGAGGAAGAAGCAGGCGAGGAGTCGACGGCAGCAGCTTGTTTCCTGAGCAGGGCCTGGATGGCCATCCATGTGACGTCAGGCGGGGGGGCAAAGCGGGAGAAGAGCTGCTCCAGGCTAGAGGTATCCGTGGGCGCTATCACACACGGCAGCGACAGAAACGCTGCTGTCTCCGCCCCTCCAATGCCCAGACCAGAGCCCTCTGACCCCAAACCTGATCCCAGGCCTGAGCCCGAACCTGGGTCCAAGCCTGAAACAAGCCCCAGCTTTTCGATGTCGAAACACTCTCTTGGGAATGGAGACCACAGGAAGGCGTCGATATCATTGCTGGCACTGCTGCTGCCATCATCCGCTTTGTTCCCCAGCTTCTTGCCCGTTGCCTGTCCTCCTGCAGTCCCCTTATGAACCTCCGGTTCTCCCGGACCTGCTCCTGTGGTTCGGCACAGCTGGCATAGGTCGTCGAAGTCGCGAGTCAAGATCTCACCCAGGGCTTCCCCCGAGCCTGGCCCGGAGGTTCGGCACCAGTGACGGTACGCAGCGATGAGCAGGCGCTCACGTGATTGATTAGGAAAGAGATGGTGGAGGAAGAGAAGCAGAAGTGCGTGAGTGTGAAGCACCTGTGGGATGGGGGTTCAAATACCAACAATAAGCAAATAACGAGCTATACACATAGACGAAAACTATGATTTGTAAGCATTTACAGGAGCAGGACGAAGAGCAGTGCAGTACCACTGTGCCTTCTGCACCCTAGCCTAGCATTTCATCGTCTTATATGCCATTCTTAGCTGCCCTTGTCCTGCTTCCCATGCTTCTTTCAAATCCTTTAACATACAAGTCACACCCCGTTTCCACCCACGCGATCGACACCCGTACCTGCAGCAGCAGCGACTGCATCTCGTCCCCCTCATCTCCCCCCACCACGCCTTCCAGCGAGCTCCCCAGGAACAAGCCACGCCGCAGCCCTTCGATCGTCTGCCTGAGCGCGCGGTACAGCTTCAGCGCGGCCGTCAGCAGCAGCACGAACCCCACCAGCTGCTCGCCGTGCGCCGTCCACCACGCGCGCTCCGCACTCCACTCGTCCGGCCGCTCGCGCAGCTCGCGCTCGCGGTCGTCCGGCGCGCGCAGGTACTCGAAGTCCCATAGGGGGAAGGGGAGATCGGGAGACGGCGAGGTGATTTGCGTGGGATTGAGCTGGGTGGATGTCGATGGAGGTGGTGGTGCAGGGAGTGTGATGGAACGGAGGAAGTCTCGTGGTAGGTTGGCGCGGAAACGCAGGAGCTCGGAGAGGAGTGAGTTACCGAAATCGAGGAGGGAGCGGAAAGCGGTGGCAGCGGCGTTATTAGGAAACGGTGATGTCATTGCCGATGGCGGCTGAGTCCAAGGCTCCTAGCTCATAATCTCAAAACTGGCGCTGGATTGGTACATGTGGTTGATCGGAATCTGCAACCAGTGCTTGCTCCTGGGTGACTGACTGATGAAGCCAGAAATGGTGCAGGTGTCTCTGAAGTATCGGTGACTAGGGGTGGATGAATCAGCTCAATGTTCCATGAAGTTGTGAAGAGGTAAGCTTCGGTTGCATACGGTTGGAGGTAGAGAGTAGTCCACCCTGTTGAAGTCATTCGATTGGGTTGAGTCGTTTGCGAAAGAAACCATTCCACCGTTCGTCAATTTCTGGGGTAGACGATTTGGAAATGCTTCGCGAGTTGTGTTTCGCGACAAAATCGTTGAACGAACAACAGGGGAAGTTTACTCAGGGGTGAACTTCGTAACCTGGCAGCAACTACACCACTGCCCGAGTCTTCACTCCCATCTTGGTTGCCATAAATTCCGTCTCCTTTCCTGGCCAAGTCATTTGAAATCATATCACACAACACTTCAAGATGTCGTTCACGCTCGATGACTTGCTTGGCCCATCAAAGTCTGATGGCTTTGAGATGTTTGGGGCCCGCACGCCGCAGCCATCGACCTCGAAAGCAGCTGGTGCAGGTAAGTTTAGCGTAATAACTGTCCTACTCCGTTTATTCTTCTTTGTTTGACGTTTGGCCACCTTTTCAGCTGACGACATGTTTTCTGACTGGAAAGCGAATGACAACCCTAATAAACCCGGGGAGAATACAAAGAAACCCATCAGTTTCAACAGCCTGTAAGATACGATATGTGATGCCTGAAACTGGCTTGTTGATGACTTCGTGTTTCAACACCGTTTGTTTGCGATGTTCAGGGTGGACTTTGACCTCGATAGCGGTTTTAGTAAGTTCGACATTTCCATGAGTGATCTCGATTTCGCTGATACAAATTTAGACTATCCAAAAGCTGAACCGGCAAATGCGAGGTAATACACAGTTAGTGTCTCTCCTGGGTTGTGCATTGCCTAACGTCGCCGTTATCTTTCAGACCAAAGCTTGACCAAGGTCTTTCGATCGCGTCATCCATGAATGATGAAGAGAAAGACGAATGTGAAACTGAGATTGGAGATTGCGAAACTTCCGGATTCCCTGAAAATGAAAAGCATACGGATGAGCCAACTCAAGATGCTAACGCGTTGAGTCAAGACATTCCAGAACCAGATGATTCCGGGATTAAAAGTCCGAGAGAAGTCAACACTACTGACAACGAGGCAACTGCTCGAAACAGCCCAGCAAAGACTTCAAACGTATTTTCTAACCCAGCAAAGACTGGTCAGACGAGTCTAGACGTTCAGCAGGATGAACCGCTGGAGCCCTCTGAGCCTTCGGAAGCTCTGATCTTTTCTCAGCCTGTTGAGCCGCTGGAGTCCTCTGAGCCTGATGAACCGCCGGAGTCCCCTCAGTCCGCTGAACCTCTGGAGCATTCCAAGCCTGCTCAACCTCTGCAGTCTTCCAAACCTGCTGAACCTCTGGAGTCTTCCAAGCCTGCTGAACCTCTGGAGTCTTCCAAGGCTGCTGAACCTCTGAAGTCCTCCAAGACTGCTGACCCACAGGCGACCACGAAAACTGCACAAGTGTGAGCACCTTATTTCAAGATGATAACGTGTCTCTTTAACCAATTCTTAACTTTCCAAGTTTGTCTCGCAGAAGCGCCAGATCGCAAGGACCTAATGGCGATAATTCTGAAGCGTTGATGGCAAAGAAAAGCATGCTTGAATTGAATAAGCCTTCTTCTGCATCCGATCTTGGCAAAGGGTATGCTGCACCATCTTATTTCGACCTCAAATCGTTTGGAATTGTATTGATTTCGTTTTTTACTGCAGAGAAATATCAAGAGCGTCGTTGAATCAGACAAGAATGAGCGTGAATTTAAATGGACAGTCAACTCGACTGGCTAACACGAGTGTCAAATCACTTGGACAAGATCGTGCGGAATCAGCAGCTCCGGCCTCTTCCATGTTTAAGGCGAGGGGTTCACAGTCCACATTGCCAACAGCAAGTTCTCTTGGACAGACACCTGGTGTTGGAAGGCCTATGCCCGGCCGCATCTCGTCACTCATCAGCTTGAACAGAACGACAAGCTTGCCGCTCAGTCGAAATGCTCCCAAAGAACCCAGCTTGAATCTGGCCCGTCAACCAGCGGGACAGCAGAGATCCATCAGCAGCACCGCCCAAGAAAAGAGTGCTGCGAAGCCACTTCCCCTCGCATTGCGCACGAGCATCAATCCTGGCGTTGAATCAGCTAGACTCGGAAATCGTACTCCTTTAAAGGTAGGCCTTTTCATGGTCTTTTACTTCTTTCGAAGTGGTTATTCTATTATACTGCCTTTTATGGCATTTGATCCAATGCCAGATCTCAACAAGCACCGGCCAACTTTTCTGCCAGGGGAAAACTACAACTGAGAATGGAGCTATGGGAAGCAGGATCAGCAGCTTGCGAAAGCTGCCTTCTATCTCCAGCAAACCTATTGTGGCACCTTCAGTCCAGCCTCGGGTGGCTCATGTCCAAGTTGATGAAGCCTCGCCGCCAGCAACTTCAGCTAAACCCTTAGCTTTGGAATCTCAGCTGAATAACACATTTGTTTTTGGACAGCATTCTGCAGTGTAAGAAGTCAGCGATGGGCTGCCACTTTTTGAGGGAGCGGTTCTCAGATTTGATCCTGATTCTCCACTATGTGCCACAGGGTTAAAAGCACACTGCTCAGCAAGGACGTGGCGAACGGCTCCGAGGCTGATTCACAGGAAATGCTTCTTATAGAACCAGCTGAAGAGAAGCAAGACAAGGGTGACATGACGCTATCCTTCCGTGCTGCTGAAAAAACGACTAGGGTGAGCACAGTTTGATGCGCACAAATCCTTGGCAAAGCATCTTCCACTGCTCATGCTATTCATTGCCTTTTCAGGAGCAAGACGATGTGCAGAACATGGGGATGGTGGCCTTGCAAGCTGGCAGCGGCGGACAGCTCACGGAAATCCATAACAATGGAATTGGAGACATGAGCATGGAGTTTGAAGGAGAGGCAACAGGAGTTGACGAGCTTGATCAGGTGCCAATAAGCTAAGAGTTTGTTAAAAAAATTGGACGGGCCTGATCACCCTGTTCACCTACCGTATTTGTGCAGGTGTACAGGATGCTGCAGCGTAAGCATGAAGAAGCGAAAGAGCTACTTGTGAGGGTGATGATCAACCACAACCTGTTGGTGCGAATGAATGAGAAATACAGCTACGAGAACATTGAGAAGAAGAGGCAAGATCTTCTGAGCTTGATTGCATGTGACACTGCCGAGGAGTAGGGACGTTCTGGTTACATAGGGAATTAACTTCGCTCAATAAACCTTCTTATGATGCTTTGAAGATTTCCAAACTACCAACCATCAATCGCACCCAAGGAAAAATCATGAACAACACTTACTGTTAGAAGGACCAACGCGAGAAAGAACAAGTTGATTACTGTGCTATTTCCAGCTACCTATAACACAACACAAGCATGGATTGGGTAGGACATCAGCTGCTTTCCTCCCAACCATGCAATCACAGGATGCTACCCAGCAGAGGGATGAACTAGCGTAGAATGACGCTGAAAACCGTCTGGTGTAAAAAGAATGCAATCTACTCCGAAGACTAGACCGTAATATCTATGCGTTGCAGTTTCCATTCAGAGAACAGTTTCCATGTCTATGTAAGTATCGCAGTCTCCACTCAGAGAAGGCACCAGGGTTGGAACGTAGCCATTACCATGAAGCTTCTGTTGCACAGTAAGCCTGCTCAAATATGCGCCTCCCTGGGGATCTCCACTCTGGCGATTAGCTCCAGTGCAGCAGTAGTCACCATCACCATAGCGGTTACCATAATGATTACCAATGTTAGCTGTCAGTGTATCACTGTCATCTTGCTGCTGCTCCTGCTGCTGGATGTCAGCGGATATTGGCGTTTTTTTTTTGCTGCCACAGTTGAGATTGCTTTCACCTGCATCACCCCCTGAAGCAGCTCCACCACCCTCAACCTCCTCCTGAATCCCCTGCTGCCTCGCCTCCCCCCTGGAACTGACAAGGAATGATGCTGCAACGTCACTCTCCCTCCGCACCACTTGGAACGTCGACCCCATGTCACTCTCTCTCCTCCCCACCCCTCCATACCCTACTCCACCCATTCCCATATCCATTCCCCCCATACCCAAGCTCCCTTCCCGTCCTCCCTCCCCTCCCTCGCCTGCCACCCCTCCCACGCTGCTGCTCCAGATGCCCGTGCTATCATCCACCCCCTCCTCCCCCCACAGATCTCCCACCGTCTCCTGCATATCCAATGCACTCTCCAGCTCAGCAGCAATCCAGCTCACCGCACTGCTCATGCTCCTGCTCCTGCTGGCAGTGATGCTCCTGCTGCCCGCACCGCTGAAAGCAGCACCATACGGAGCAGCACCCATGCGGGCAGCACCACCGGCAACAGCAGCAGCAAGGGTGTCGTGCTGAATGGTGGAAAAGGCGACGGGAGGAGGAGGCGGAGGGGAGACATCGGGGCCGAGGAAAGCAGCGACAGCATCAAAAGCATCGTCATCAGCGGTTGGGAGTGCTGTGTACGCGTCCATGCATGCCGGTGCAGCTGGAAATTCGGCCAGTGGGGTAGAGGCATTAGCAGGCAGAGGGGCAGCAGCAGCTTGCATGTTGAATCGCTGCTGCCTGTTGCCTCCTTGCATGGCATGTGCAGGCACAAGGTCGCAGAACATGTCTGGTAGATCCACAGCACACCTTCCGCTCCCTGCTGCTGGAAACACTCCCTGCTCTTCTGGAATGACCCGCTGCTGATCTGGGAAGGCCCCTTGCTGACCTGGCACAACGTCTTGATGAGCTGGCACATCATCACTCGCCGCTGTGTAGCTGACATTCGTTTCAAACATATTGGCTGCAACGGCCGGCAGGGCGAGGCAGCTTGTGCTGCCTCTGCCGTCCGTGTTACCATACATATCACCCTGAACAGGGAAGGTCTGCTTTCCAGCTCGCCAGCCTTGCACCTCGTGTGCCGCCTGCTGCTCATAACACTGAGTTTGCTGCAGCAGGGAGGGCTGCTGCTGTTGCTGCTCCTGCTGGTAAAGCTGAGACTGCTGCTCAGGCACGTGTGGCTGCTGCTGCTGTGCTGGCATCTGCAGAAGCATCGGAGCGAGCAGCAATGGCTGCTGCTGCTGCTGCAGTTGTTGCTGTGCAACAGTCTCCTGGAACTGCATCTGTGGCGTTTGTGGCATGTGCTGCGTCGGTTGCACCGGCCTCATCTCCTGCACGGTGTTCATGTGACCGGCAGCAACGACCGGCTCACTGCCAAGAATAGCACAAGCAGCACTGCTCGTGCAGCCGCTGCTGTCCATGCCTGCAACGCAAACTCTACCAGCAGCGCCAGTAGCGGCAGCAGCAGCAACACCAGCAGGACCCGCAGGACGAGCAGCATCAGAAGCACCTTGAACACTGGCCTGAAAAAGCGTCGGTGCCGTTGCAACACTTGATACCCCAACACCGGCGCCAACACCAGTGGCAACACAAGCAGCACTGCTGGCCGATGCCAGAGCCTTGTGTGTAGACCCTGGTGCCGGAGAGGAGTACAAAACAGATGTATTGACTTCTACGTACAATTTGCCGACTTGTGTGACTCCAACACATGTGTTTGTAGCGGGTACGGATGCGGCCCCGTGCAAAGGTGCACCACTGACCACAACCCCTGCGGCTGTAGCGCTAGCTGTGGAAGCTGTAGCAGCAGCAGGGGTGGTGGGCAGAGCTGCGATCCCTGGGACCCGCTCCTCCGCGCGTATAGCTGTAACCGTGTGATTTCCAATCGTGGCCGTTGATGTAGCAGCTGTAGCGGCATCTGCAACAGCCGCTACAGCTGAATCAGCAGGCGGAGACGGCAGTGCTGACGTCACCGCGCGCGGTTCCGCCGGCACGAGCGGCGGCTCGCAGCACAGCAAGTCGACGGCTCCTCGCCCGCCATTGAGCTCGTGCGGTCCGTCTTGGGCTTCGGGCTGTGCTGTGGGTTGCGCTGTGGGTTGCGCTGTGTTCTGCGCTGCGTGCTGCGCTGTCTCCTGCTCGGCCGCTTCCTGGCTCCTCTTCAGCCGTTTCAGCGCCCTCGCTCCTTCCGCCTCCCCATCGCCGTCACCCTCCTCTCCGCCGCTCCCAGCCTTCTCCTCCTCCTCCCTCTCCGACATCGACTCATCCTCCGCCTCCCCTTCCGCCTCTGCTCCCTCCTCCGCTTCCCCAGCCTCCGCCGGACCCTGACACGTGTCCGCTTTCGGTTCGTCCACGTCATCGGGGAAGTTCAGCAGCGCTTTGGCACCTCGGATCTCCCGCGCAGCCGCGTCATATGCGCGCGCCGCCGCTTCCGGAGAGTCGAACGTTCCCAGCCACACGCGCCCTTTCCCCCCCGCATCCCGGATTTCCGCCGCCCATCTCCCCCACGGGCGGTAGCGCACCCCGCGGTACGCGGGCACTGGGGAACCATCCGCCGCTGTCGGGGGAGGTGGCGGTTGGCTTCCGGGCGCCTTCGCCTTGCGCTTCCGCTGCCCTTGCGCCTCCGCCTGCTCCTCCCCCCGCGCCTTCTTCGGGCTCCTCCTTCCGCCGAGCCGCCCGCCAACAGCTGCGCCAGCAGCTGCGCCTGCGTTTCCGCCGATGGCGGAAGCGGGCAGCAGCACCGGAGTCATGGCCCCTACGAGGCCTGCGGTCGGCGCACCCTGAGGCGCAAGTTGCGGAGTGACGGCTGGGCTGTCGCCGCCAATCATCTCCTGAAGGGCCTGCTGGACGCGCCCCGCCACGAGAAACGGCTGCGGCGACTGCGGAGCCGATGCGGAAGCAGCGCAGAACAGCTGCGGCGATTGTTGCGCCGAGCCGAGCGCGGAGTGGGACAGCTGCGGCGACCGCTGAGTCGAGCCTAACTGCATGTGGAACGGCTGCGGGCTGGCGGGCGGCGGGGGCGCGGGGGAGAAGCGCGAGAGTAGCGCGTTCTGCGGGAGCAGCGCGCTTTGGAAATGAAGGGCGCTCTGGGGGAGGAACGGGTGCGCGGGCGAGCCAAGGCGGGGGGCCGGAGACGGCGTCTGCGCGAAGCAGTACGGGCGCGGAGGCTGAGGCGGAGTGGGGGGCGTTATGTGCGGCTGCGGGGAAAACGGCGGAAGCGGGGGAAGCGGAGAGGAGCTGACTAATGGATGGGTAGGCTGCAGCGAAGGGCACGTGTGTGATTGTACCGAGAAGGACATCGTTGACTGTACGCAATGCTCGTTTGTATCTAACGGCGTGTGGTAGGAGGGTGGTAGCTGCTGCTGTGATTCAAACGGACCGGCGCTCTCGTGAGCGGTCTGCTGGTACTGCGGCTTCGACGGTGGCGCTGTCGCCATGGGGTCGAGCGAGTGACAAGCAGCCGAGCCGTACATGGCTGCGAGTCTCGTGGAAGGTAGACACGTGGGCTGCGCGTCTTGTTTAGGGTCAAGGCTCAAATTGAAGATCTATGCGGCTCGTGACTTTCTGACTTTCTTCCTATGTCAATGTGCGAAGGGAAGAATACGCCTTCGCCGTCGATTAGAGCCTAAAGAAAGGGGCGAATGGTCTATGTTGGTCGCACGAGGTCATGCGTGCAAGCAGTTGAGAAAAATCGTGGGATTAGGGAGTCGGAAATCGAACATTGTGAAGACGAGGATTGGAATGTGTGCGGTTAAATAGCACCGACCATCGTGCTTGGGTCGGGAAGGGAGAGGGGGGAACGAAGAGCGAGGCTGGACTTGGGGAGTCTGCCTGTTGCGAAGCTGACGCACCAGTTACAGTTGCCAGCTAAGAAGCTTACTCTAAACCCAATACACCCGCGTCGCGGCCCGACAATGCATGAGCCCAAGAGAGGTAGTTGAGCAGGTTGAGTGGGTCAAGAGAGAGGGGTGCTGCTGAGTCGCCCTAATGTCAGGCCAGGTCCGAAATGGCACGGAGGAGCAACGCACGGCGAGGGGTGTGCGTGGGAGATGGATATGAGCGCTGTTTTTGGCTCTTGCTGTGAAATTGTCCAGATGATGCTGCTGCTGCTGTGGTGCCTGAAACGAGATGGGGCGGGCTCGAGCTAATTTCAGATAAATCGCGTGCGGTGCTCCTGGAACAGAACTGCTCAAACCGCGCATTTCTTATTTGGATCCGAACCGCTTCTGAAAACATATCGGCCCGCCTAAATCATATGTCGGAAGGGGCACGACCTGGAGTAACTTATGCCACGTGGTGAATGTCAAGTGGTTTCTTTCTCCGTGAAGTGCGTAGCGCTGAGATGATTGGGGGTTGTTGGCTGTCGTGTCGACACCACCGACGATCCGTGTCGGGCAGAACTGTTTCAGTACTGTCGCAAGGGAGTCGTTTCGGTCGCATGTGACTCGTTTGAGTCGCAGGGGCCGCTGGGTTTCTTCGCATTACGCTTGCTCTGCAAGCAATTGGTCGCTGGACGACGTCGCACGCAACCTGAACTTTCCAGGTTGCTCCAAAGCACTTTCCTAGTTCTAGCTCTCTAGTCAGGTGCTGCTGACTGAAAAAACTAGGGAAAATATGTGAATGGTACGCGTACGATTCCTACTTTTGGAAATCCAGGCTCGGCCCGACGACCTCGCTTCCCGATCGTAACTCGTGTCGCCTTTGGACTCGACAACCCCGGACCAGCACCCAACCTCATCAGTCCGAGGTTCCCGCCTATATTACCGCTAGCCTCCATAATTGATCAGTAGTTAGAGCGTATTCCTATCATCGTATCAAGAGAACCTCATATCAAGATTGTACTTTTTGCCTGGTAAAACTAGCGAGAGGTTTTGGGTTTAGGGGAATTTTCAGTGGGAGGTTGATATGAGGTTCTCTTGATACGAGGATAGGAATAAGCTCTTATAATCACTTTCTCGTTAATAAGTCCGCGCACTCTACTCCTTCACAACTCGTAACACTTGGTATCAGAGCTACTTTCCTAGGCCTCCCTGCACGGTTCCGGGGTAATTCATGGAAGGTGTGCGATATACTCCAACCCATTCGACGACGTATGCGAAACATGGATCATGCGGGGTTGAACAACATGTTGCAAGAGTTCCGGGCGTTGCACGACAACATGCAGATGTTGTCGATGGAGGTCGAGCGACGCGGGAGGAAACACTGATCTACGCCAAGCGCGAAGTCAAGCGCGCCAGGAGTCGCCCGCCATAGACGAAGGAAGTGGGACCACCATGCCGAACGAGGCCGTCTTCAATGAGATCGAACGATCAATCGACGCTGCAGAAGTGAAGCAGGCGCAATCAACAGTAGCAGCAACAATGGCGACAACTGTAAGAGTCAAGCCAGCGAACCCACCCCCGTTCAACCCAAATGACAAGTTTGTCACTGTTCCAGGGCGGCTATTCGGCGTTGAAATATTTTTCAGTGCTGCTAATGTTACCGCCGATACCGCCCGCATCCATTTTGCAGTTTCACTGTTGCGCGGAGCTGCGTTAGAACGGCGGCGCCTCGATCTACAGTTCGAGGGGAATTCGGCAAGGACGACACGTGCGAACGACGGGGCTTCAATACATGTGAAACAACACGCATCATCAATTTTTGGAGTGGCCACGATGCGCACATGGAAGGAGTGGGGCGCCGCCCTGCGAGCAAGATTCAAGCACATATCCGCCTCGGACTCGATTCGCATGAAGCTGCGTGCCTGGAAGCAATTGACTTCGGTCCAAGACTAGGCCCCTCACGGCCCCGTCGACCCCGCGCGCAGCCCCTTAGCGGCCCCTTACGGCCCCGTCGACCCCGCGCGCCGCCCCTTAGCGGCCCCTTACGGCCCCGTCGACCCCGCGCGCCGCCCCTTAGCGGCCCCTCTCGGCCCCGTCGACCCCGCACGCGCCCCACCTAGAGGCCCCGTCGGCCCCGTCAACCCCGCGCGCGCCCCACCTAGCAGCCCCGGCAGCCCCGCACGCGACAGCCACGGCCCCGCCAGAACCGAGCCGCCCGAACCGAGCCGCCCGAACCGAGCCGCCCGAACCGAGCCGCCCAGCCCGAGCCGAGCCGCGCTGCCCGAACCGAGCCGCGCCGCCCTCCCCGTACTGAGCAGCCCCCTCTGGACCGAGCCGCCCTACCTGAGTCGTGCTGCCTGCTGCTTTTAGGGTTTCGCCTACTGCTACTGCTGCTACTGTTCCTGCTGCTGCTACTACTACTGCTGTTACTACTGCTCTTCCTGCAACTATGGCTAGCCCTGCTGTACTCGCTTTCGATGCTGAGGGCCGCCCACTGAAGTTTGACACCTGGCTAGATGACTTGCACCTGTTCCTCCAGCTCACTGCCAAGGAGGACATCTCGCTGTACGATCACGCACTAGGCCTCGCTACTGCCCCTGCTGTTACTGCTGACAGTACTGCCCACTCCCAGTGGCAGACTCGTGACGCCCACGCTCGCTTTGCTATTCGCAACTCCCTGCCGGTAGATGAGCGCGAGCACTTTGGCCAGCACAAAACTGTGCAGGCACTGTACACTGCTGTAGTTGCACGCTACTCCTCACCTGCCTCTGCTGCGCTAGGCCGTCTCTCGCTTCCCTACCTGTTCCCAGACCTGTCCGCTTTCGCCACAGTTGCTGACCTCACCACGCACCTCCGCACTAGTGAGGCTCGCTTCCGTGCCGCTATGCCCGCTGAGTTTCTTGCCACCCACCCCCCCCCGCTCTGGCTCACTCTCTACCACCTTGTCACCCGTCTCCCTGACTCTCTTCGTGCGGTCAGGGATGTCAGATTTATATGACATAGCTACTGTAGGCTAGAGTGGGGTAGCACATATGGGGTACAGTTTTCTAGGGTTTGCTTCTTGTACCCAACTTTCACTTAGTCATTCTCATTCCTGTTTTTCTTAATTCACATGGTATCAGAGCGGGTTCCTACATGGGACCGTTCCTTCCTAAGGGCCCACCATAAGATTTTTTTTTTTTTAGCTGCCCGCGCACATTGCGCCCTGCCCTAAATTTTTTTTAGCGGCCCCTACGCTGCCTCTACGCGGCCCCTACGCCGCCTCCCACGCGCCCCCTATGCGGCCCCTGGCAGCGCCCTGACGAGGCCCCTGCCGGCGCCCTATCGCGGCCCCTGACGCGCCCCCTGGTGGCGCCCTGACGCGGCCCCTGGCGGCGCCTGACGCGGCCCTGACGCGGCCTGACGCGGCCCCTGGCGGCGCCCTGACGCAGCCCCTGCCGCGGCCCTGACGCGGCCCTGCCGCGGCCCCTGACGCGGCCCTGACGCGGCCTGCCGCGGCCCCTGCCGCGGCCCTGAAGCGGCCCCTGACGCGGCCCTGACGCGGCCCTGACGCGGCCCTGCCGCGGCCCCTGGCGGCGCCCTGACGCGGCCCCTGACGCGGCGCCCTGCCGCGGCCCCTGCCGCGGCCCTGACGCGGCCCTGCCGCGGCCCCTGACGCGGTCCTGACGCGGCCTGCTGCGGCCCCTGCCGCGGCCCTGAAGCGGCCCCTGACGCGGCCCTGAAGCGGCTCTGCCGCGGCCCTGACGCGGCCCTGACGCGGCCCCTGACGCGGCCCCTGCCGCGGCCCCTTACGCGGCCCTGTCGCGGTCCTGCCGCGGCCCCTGGCGGCGCCCTGACGCGGCCCCTGACGCGGCGCCCTGACGCGGCCCTGCCGCGGCCCCTGACGCGGCCCCTGCCGCGGCCCCTGACGCGGCCCCTGACGCGGCCCCTGTCGCGGCCCCTGACGCGGCCCCGCCACCTACCTTTCTGGCCCCGCCGCCTCCTCTCAGCGGCCCCGCCGCCTCCTCTCAGCGGCCCCGCCGCCTTCTCCCAGCGGCCCCGGACGCCGCCCTCTCAGCGGCCCCGCCGAGCCGCCCAGCAGCCTAGCCGCCCAGCAGCTGAGCCACCGAGCCGCCCAGCAGCCGAGCCGCCGAGCCGCCCAGCAGCCGAGCCGCCCAGCAGCCGAG